TCAATGCTTTTATAAGCGTGACTCCCGGTACCTAAGAAATGGGAGAAGAATGCAGCTCCAAGAAGATAGAGAAGTGACTGATGATGATGATCACCCTGCAGTTGGACCAGTTAACATGGTCCAAATAAGTGAGGGAATAAAAGAAGTTGAGGTCAACGAAAAGGCGGTTGCTGAAGTATGCCAGACTTATTTGACCTACCGGAGGAAATTACGAAATCCTCAGGACCCTCAAATGTCAAAAGTTCCACAAGTTTTGCTGGAGGAAGAGCAAGTGAAATATGATGTACTAGCTCATCTAAAGAAAATTCCAGCATTGTTGAGCGTATATGATGCACTAAAAATGTCTCCAGAGCTTCGAAAGTCTTTAATATATGCCCTGTCCAAGCCAGAGGATTTCCACAAAGAAATTGAGGGTAGAAATCACGAGAAGGCAACTACATGCATGGCTATGGTAACTTTTGGTGACAAAGACATGTGTGCTGAAATGACAGACCATAATCGGCCTTTGTTTATCACTGGGCTTATCCATGATGTGAAAATTTCTTGAATTCTCGTTAATGGAGGATCTGCGGTGAACCTTTTGCCTCGGAGGGCCTTAAATTTATTAGGGGTTCGAATTTCACAACTTCACCCAAGTCGTTTGGTCATTCAAGGATTTAATCAGAATGAGCAACGCCCAATGGGGAAAATTGAATTACAAGCCAAGTTTGGGGATATTGAAGAAAGCACTGAGTTCTTGGTCATTGATGTAGACACCTCTTACAATGCTTTGCTTGGGAGGCCATGGATGCATAATCATCATGCAGTGCCATCAACTTATCACCAATGTATTAAGTACCCGTTGCCTTCACCCAAAAAAGAGGGGACAATTGTGGTTAACAATGATCCATTTGGAGAAGTAGAGGCCTACTATACTGATGCTCGCTTCTATACAAAGACTTCACAAAGAAAGGGAAAAGATATGAAGAAGTCTGAAGATACTCCGAATGTCAAAGACGCTCTAGAGTCTATTCCAGTTTCAACAAAAAGAACTTTTCGATATGTGCCAAAGTCCGAAAGGAAACTGGGGGCAAAGGCTTTAGCCCCAATAAATCCAATTTTGGATCTCAAGGGTGAGTTCACGTTGCCATTAAGGAAGACAGAATGCACCTATGTGGAGAAATATAATAAGATTGTGGTCTCTTCTAAAGGAAAAGGATCGAAACCCATCATATTCCACTCACTTGGAGATGTTGAACAGAAAGTGAAAGTTGAACAAATGCCAGAAGAAAACATCTCGAGTTTTGAGAAGCCTACCTTCAGTGTAGAAATCACACAGATGTTGGTAAAAGTTGGTTTAGATCCTGAAAAAATACCAGGAACAATGACACCCTTTGACTTTGCATTAACACCTTCACAAAGGCAGGCTATCCAGCAAGGCGGTATTATCACCGCCAGGACAGAAGGGTTAGGCTATGAAGGGGATGAGGAAAAATTTTCAGTAAACATGACTATCACTCAAGATGTGTTGGAAGATGTTGACCAAGATGAAGCTCAACCTGCACCAATAGAATTTGAAGCAGGAGGCCAAGCCACCGTGGATGACCTTTGTGAAATAAATTTGGGTGATGAAGGAGAAAACAAACCAACCTTCATTAGTGCAAATTTAAAAGAAGAAGAAACTCGGCAATATATTTCCTTCTTAAGGAAGTATCGTGACATATTTGCATGGAACTACAGTGAGATGCCTGGTCTTAATCCAGAGATTGCAGTCCATAAGCTTGCAATTCACCCTGAGAAACAGCCAATTAAACAGCCTCAGAGGCGAACTCGACCAGAGCTTACAGCCCAAATTGAAGCCGAAGTCGACAAGCTTATTAATGCAGGATTCATTAGGGAAGTCCAATATCCAACCTGGCTAGCAAACATAGTGCCGGTCAAGAAAAAGAATGGTCAAATAAGGGTCTGCACTGATTTCCGTGATCTCAATGAGGCTTGTCCTAAAGACGACTTTCCCTTGCCCATCACTGAGCTTCTTGTAGATGCAACTGCTGGGTATGAAACCTTGTCTTTTATGGATGGATATTCAGGATACAATCAAATCCGAATGGCACCTGAAGATGAAGAAATGACTGCATTCAGGACTTCGAGAGGAGTCTTTTGCTATAAGGTAATGCCTTTTGGCCTGAAAAATGCTGGGGCCACGTATCAAAGGGCGATGACTGTAATTTTCGGTGATATGCTCCATGACACCATTGAATGCTATGTTGATGATCTTGTCGTCAAGACAAAGGAGAAGGAAAACCATGTGGAAGATTTGAGAAAAATCTTCGAACGTTTGAGGAGGTACAAACTCAAGATGAACCCACTAAAATGTGCATTTGGACTTTCCTCAGGAAAATTTCTAGGGTTTGTGGTTTGAAACAAAGGGATTGAAATTGACCCTACCAAGATTAAAGCCATTGCTGAAATGCCTCCTCCACGAAATTTAAGGGAATTAAAGGGGCTACAAGGGAGATTGGCCTATATCAGAAGATTTATTTCTAACTTGGCTGGTCGATGTTTGCCATTCTCAAGATTGATGAAAAAGGGTGTTCCATTTGAATGGGATCAGCAGTGCCAAAATGCTTTTAATAGTATTAAGGAGTATCTTTTGAAGCCTCCAGTACTCATGAGCCCAATAAAAGGGAAACCACTTTTGTTGTACATAACAGCCTTTGATGGTTCGTTAGGGGCACTGTTGGCACAACACAATGAATATGGGAAAGAAAATGCCTTGTATTACTTGAGTCGTACTTTGGTTGGGGCAGAAGTCAATTACTCTCCTATCGAAAAGACATGTCTTGCCTTGGTGTTTGCCTTGCAAAAACTAAAGCACTATGTCTTGAAACATGAAGTCAAGTTGATATCAAAAGTAGACCCCTTGAAATATATACTTTCACGGCCCATACTTTCAGGAAAAATTGCAAAGTGGGCTGTAATTCTCCAATAATTCAGAATTGAATATGTTCACCAAAGAGCTGTAAAGGGGCAGGCTCTAGCAGATTTTTTGGCAGCACATCCTATACCTGATGACTCACCTCTAGTAATTGATTTACCAGATGAAGAGGTTATGCAAGTAGAAATTCAGAAAGGATGGGAGATGGATTTTGATGGAGCTTCAAGGAGTCCAGATGGCAAGAAGCAAGAAAATCCTAAAAACAATAAAGTTGGAATTGGAATTGTGTTTGTGACTCCAGACAATGCTATAATCACCCATTCTTTCGCCTTAAGTGAAGGATGCTCCAATAATGAGACAGAATATGAAGCTGTAATTGCTGGATTAGAATTGGCATTACAAATTCCTATTGAAGAACTCTCAATTTATGGAGATTCGGAATTGGTGGTAAAGCAACTCCGTGGAGAATACATTGTTAAGAAAACAAGTCTCATCTCGTATCATGAAAGGGCTGCTCAATTGCTTTCGCAATTCAGGAAAACACATATTTTCCATGTGAAGAGAAGAACAAATGCTCGAGCTGATTCACTTGCAAGTTTGTCTGCATCACTCACCCTGCCAGATAGCAAAACAATTACTATCACGGTAGGTGAAAGAAGGGTGTTACAACCTATAAAAGAGGTTTCTGACTTGGTTCCAATTTTGGTCGTCACCACGAAAGGAGAAAACGAGGAGGATTGGCGGGAACCATTCATAGCTTACCTCCAACATGGTAGGCTACCTGAAGATAAAGTAAAAAGAATTGAAGTAAGACGCAGGGCTACCAAATTCGTCCTGTGGAAAGATGGAACGTTATACAAAAGGTCTTTGGATGGAATGTTCATGCAGTGTATAGCCAAGGAGCGTATTCAAGAGGTAATGGCAGAAATACATGCAGGTGTATGTGGGGCACACCAAAGTGGTCCTAAATTACATATGCAGCTAAAACGGTTGGGATACTATTGGCCGACTATGATTGCAGATTGCATAAATTATGCTCGAAGATGCCAAGTCTGCCAATTCCATGGGAACTTTCTCCACCAACCCCCAGAGCCTTTACATTTAACAACTTGTTCTTGGCCATTTGCAGCATGGGGTATGGACATTATTGGTCCTTTTGTACCTCCATCTTCAGCAGGTTATCGATACATCCTAGCTGCAACTGACTATTTCTCAAAATGGGCAGAGGCCATGGCTTTAAAGGATATAAAAAGCACAGTTGTCTCTGAGTTCATCCGAACCCATATCATTTACAGGTTTGGGATTCCAGAAAGTATCATCATGGATAATGGACAGCTATTCAGGAGTGATGCTTTGAACAAGTTATTTGCCAAGTACAAAATCAAAAACAACCATTCATCAAGATATCATGCACCTGCCAATGGTTTGGCAGAAGCTTTCAACAAGACATTGTGCAAAATTCTTAAGAAGATGGTTGATAAGAACAAAAAAGTTTGGCACGAAAAGTTGCAAGAAGCTTTGTGGGCTTATCAGACTTCGCATAGAACTTCTACTTAAGCAACCCCTTATTCGTTGGTTTTTGGAGGAGAAGCAGTGTTACCACTTGAGGTTCAAATACCATCATTGCGAGTGGCAATACAAGAGTCCTTAACAGAAGATGAAAGTGCAAGAGTGAGGTTGGCTGAGCTGGGGACCCTGGATGAAAGAAGGTTGTATGCTCAACAGAACTTGGAGATCTACCAACAAAGGATGGCAAATGCATTGAATAAAAGAGTGAGGCTTCGTTCCTTTAAAAAGGGAGACTTGGTACTAATGGTTAGAACACCCATAGTAGTCTCACGAAGAACCAAAGGAAAATCTAAGGTGGTTAAACATTAGATACTCCTGGCCTGCAAGAGTATAAACTGTGTACGGCCAAGCATAAGTCGAAGTCCACCAACGGTATTGTATGTGGTTAAACTGCTAAAATATCCCACCGAAATCTAAGGTGGTTAAACATTAGATACTCCTGGCCTGCAAGAGTATAAACTGTGTACGGCCAAGCATAAGTCGAAGTCCACCAACGGTATTGTATGTGGTTAAACTGCTAAAATATCCCACCGAAATCTAAGGTGGTAAAACATTGGATACTCCTGGCCCGCAAGAGTATAAACTCTGTACAGCCAAACAAAAGTCAAAAAACCACCAACGGTATTGTATGTGGTTAAATTGCTAAAATATCCCACCGAAATCTAAGGTGGTAAAACATTGAATACTCCTGGCCAACAAAAGTATAAACTATGAACGGCTAAAATAAGACAAATCAATGTATTGTATTGAGAAATTTCATGTAACAAATAAATCTATCATTGAGCGAAATTTCATAAATACATTATGTTCGGATGAATAAAAAAATAAAAGTGCATCCATTCATTAAGAGAAGCCTTAGCCCTTTCAAAAGCACGTTCCACAACACTGTGTTGTCCATCATTCTTCTTGTGTTGGCTCAAAACATTCAGAGCAGTTTGCACGTCTTCTTCTGATTTAGAAACACTCTCGGAAGCTTGTGCAAAATCACACATAAAGGATGCATGTTCCGCTTGGGTGGATGACAATTCCTCTTCAAGTTGTTTGAGTAACTCTTTGGTTTGAATAATCCTTTGATTAAGACCCGCAATGTGCTCATCTGACTTGATAATTGAAGCAAACAACTATTCATGTTCGCCAGAAACTTTGTCAAAATGAAGCTTCTTCTCACAATATTGGGCCTCAAATTCTGCAGTAGACAAGTTTGAAGAATCTGCAAGTTGGGTTTTCAAAGCAAAGCACCCAAGGAATATCTTCACCTTCTCATAAAAGGAGATGAAGTCTACACCCAAACTCTTCAAAATCTTGAAAACGTTGTTTGCTACAGCAATCATGCCATTAACATCCGTCATTGATTGGAGAGAAATAGTAAGACCTTTCTGAATATGGGTGGCTGCTTCGTTAGAGGAAGTTCCCAAAAGAAGGTTAGATGGAGCAAAGGGTGCTTCAAGTTTGTCAAATAATTTGTTAACCCCATTTGCTTCAAGTAAGTCAGCAAGAATTTGGGCCTCTTCCGAGGTATCAGAAGTAATTTCGTCTGTCTCTTCCAATGTGTCAGAAGTATTTTCTATGAAAATAGAAGAAGATACTCAATGAAAACGTAGAAGGTAAAAACAATATATATATATATATAGATGAATGAAGTATACCTTGGTGTACAGCTTGAAGAGACTTAGGTGGAGGAGACAAGTTGTGATTCCCACAAATGGACCATGGATTTTGCAATGTGGCATGATCTAAAGAGAAAAGAGTTCCTTGAGTATCTATACATGATGAAATAAAATGAGGTACAAGGAATGAATAAGAATACCCTTAAAGGTAGCCAATGGCATACGCGAGGCAGCTGGGGAAGTCCGAGGCGCAGTGCCTAAGAAAATGAAAGGTATTTAAAAAAAATAATAAATAAAAAATAAAAAAATAAAAAATAATAAAAAATAAAAAAATAAAAATAAAGAATTATACCTTTCTCTAATAGCTTGGATGACTCGTTCGAAGGAGAAGAAAAAGCTACATTTGCTGAAGGCGATTTACTCATCTTAGTCGGTGTGCCATCTAAAAGAGGGGTGTAGTCATAAAACTCATCTTCACTCTCGCTACTTCCATTGAGAGAACAATCAAAAGATTTGGTAGGAGAAGGAATTTCAACACTCTTAATGCGTATACGACCCAAGGCAGTTAGTTCATACCCATCTCCCTCAAAGAGTTCTTGAATCATATTCTCATCTTTATCTTCAAGAAAAGAGTACAAGTATGTGCGAAATTGATCCATTGGGGTTTTGGTCGCTACGGTGGGTTGGGAAATTCCTGTACAATCACTGATAGACATAGTCTCTGGAAAAAGATTTGCGAGACAAGCAAATTGAGGGCCAGAATCTACTAGCTCAAAGCTAAATCTCATTTTAAATTGAAAATTACACATATCCTCGAAAAGATGAAGGAGATCTGAAATCGAGTAATTAGACCGAGAAGGAGCAATAAGTGGTCAACTATTATCCATTCTCTGAGGTGATGATGCTTCCAGAGCAATAGGTGAAGATGATGACCTAGCTCTAGAGTAAGAAGGATTCTTCATCTTTCGGTTTTTAATTGGCATATCCAGTTTTCTCTTGCGTGAAGATTTCGGCTGGGAATGAGTAACATATTGGAGCACGGTAAAGGAAGTTCCCAACCACCAATTGGCATAAGGCATGGTTACGTGAGAAGTAGATCATGAGCCTGGTAATTCCAATGAGACTTTTGTACCGCAGCGTAGCATATGGCGCCAGTTGTAATAAAATTTAGACCACTCAGAGGGCTGCCGACAAGATACATTAAGCGGTATAGGGCATGCTTGAGCAAACCCAAATTGACGACCGTATCGGTTAGGGGAGTACGGTTCATAAATGAAATTAAATCCCATTTTAAAAGTTAAAATCCCTTGCCTCAAAGATATAAGATAGCCAAGGTGGAAAGGTGATATCCTTTCAGAGTCGACCAGAATGCCTGAAGGTTGACTTTCATGAGTAAGAGCCCTAAATTGACACTCCGTACGATAAGTTAGGAGAGAGTCCACAAATGGAAATTTATCAGTAAAAAACTGGGCAGCCAATTGGTTTCCAATAAACCCAAGATATGGCATGAAATGAATATCAGGAATCGGACAAATCGACTGAGGATCCCCATGAGAGTAAGTCTTGACAAAATATAGTGAAATCCATCCAAAAAGGTAATGTAAAGGACCCTGAATATTTTCCTTCCCAGGTGAAGATGATGATGCCATTTTACCAAGAGAAAGATAGAGGTATGCAAGGACGGGGATGGCCAGGCTAAACAAGGTTCCACCTGCCATTTTGGTGGCTACATGAAAGGTCGTCGGACAAATTTCTCCGGAAGAGTGAGGGAAGACAAATTCGCTAAGCCAGCTCATCAAAAAACCAGAAAGATACACATCATCAGGAATTCTATCTTTTCATTGAAAACCACTAATTGAAGTTGGGGATTCGTCACTGAATTTGAAAGTCCAGTGGTTAAACTTCTTGGATTGACAAGAGCTGGCATAAATGTTGAAAAGCCCACGGCACGCCTTGGATGTCTAGGACGAATATAAAATGTCATTGGAGGGGGTGAACTCTTCATAAAACTCGCCACAAATGGGGAGCCCGCTAATGCGATGAAGGTCCCATAAAGAGATCCCAAGTTCGCCGTAAATGGTGTGGAAAGTGTTGGTGTCGGGTGACCACCACTCTCAGAATCCTTTGAGGAGGGAAACATTCCTAGCATAAGCAAATTGGGATACATAGATTGCAGCATAAATCCCACACTTCTTCAAAATAGGGGCAAATGTGGAAAGAACGTCATTTAACCAAAAAATCCATATAGGGGATTGCAAATGGGTAGAAATGCCGCGGACATTAAAAGAATTATCCCACTTCAGTTTTTCATGCTTCATTCACTTAAGAAGAGTATTAAATTCAGAGCAGTGAAGGTCTTCAGAAAAAGGATGAAGGATTGAGATAGGGAATGAACCAATTGATTTGGAGTGCCCTTTCTCGAGAATCTCACAGTAGTTTCAAATTCCTGTATAGATCAAGTCTTCGGAAGCCGTATGTAAAGGGATGTAGGGGTCCAACTCGATAGGTGACAACAAAGCAGTGATAGGTTTGTGCCGAATTATTTTGTAACGACTTCTTTAGCTCTCAATTTCTTTCTCTCTCTCTCTGATCTTTTCCCTTCTGATTTTCCCTTCTAATTGTGTCCGTTGGGGTGACGGACACAATCACTACCAAGGATTCAAGCCGTTGGGGTGACGGATACAATCACTGCCAATGATTCAAGCCGTTGGGGTGACGGACACAATTACTGCCAAGGTTTCAAGCCGTTGGGGTGACGGACACATTCACTGCCAAGGATTCAACCTGTTGGGGTGACGGATACAATCACTACCAAGGTTTCAAGCCGTTGGGGTGACGGACACATTCACTGCCAAGGATTCAACCCGTTGGGGTGACGGACACAATCACTGCCAAGGTTTCAAGCCGTTGGGGTGGCGGACACATTCACCGCCAAGGATTCAACCCGTTGGGGTGGCGGACACAATCACTGCCAAGGTTTCAAGCCATTGGGGTGAAGGACACATTCACTGCCAAGGATTCAAGCCATTGGGGTGAAGGACACAATCACTGCCAGAGATTCAAACCGTTGGGGTGACGGACACAATCACTGCCAAGGATTCAAGCCGTTGGGGTGACGAACGTAATCACTGCCAAGGTTTCAAACCATTGGGGTGAAGGACACATTCACTGCCAAGGAGTCAACCCATTGGGGTGAAGGACACAATCACTGCCAAGGATTCACGCCACTCATTGCCATTAGGCTAGAAGGGGCAATGATACCTGCAAACAAACACCTTGTGTGTTGCCTGCAAAAGAGATAAAAAGACATGAAATAATTGTTTACAAAAAAAATATAAAATAAAATAAAAACAAAAATTAGTCATCATGATTCATGCAATTAAAATTCACTTGCACGAATCACAAGGGGCAAGGTTGATTTGACTTTTAACAAAAAATTGGCCAATTGTACAAAGGGTTGCTACTAATACAACATAAAATAAAAGGTAGCAAGCTTAAAAAATAAAATAATATATATATATATATATTTAGTAAACAATTTGAAACTTTGTTTGGCCTATTTAGATTCATGGTCTACAAAAAAAGGGTTTAAAAAGAAAAACCTGCTAAACAGTTTGAAAAAAAATGAAGCTAGTGTGGGAATAAAAAAAGCAACCTGTGTTGGTTTGTTCTTCAAAGAAAAAAAAAAGGGCTTTGTGACAAGGACTTTGTTTGGCCTATTTAGATTCATGGTCTACAAAAAAAAGGTTTTTAAAAAAAAAAAAAAATAACTGTCTGTGTTCATATTTGGGTTTAGCAAAAAAAAAAAACTGCTAAATAAACAAATACATGCCGTTAAAAAAAAAAAAAGAAGCAAAAAATCATGAATGTGTACAAGTCTAATAAGCAATGTGGATGTGGTTCATGACTTAATTCTCACTTAAGAGGGAATATTTCCAATAAAGAATACGTGAAATATGAATGAATTGTAGGTGACATTATCACTGGAGAGAGGATTCAAAAGAAGCATAACCTATAATTTCACGGATGACAGTGACATTGAGGATCAATTTGGAGAGCATGCCAAGAAACATGAATTTGGAGACATAACATGGTATCCATCAAAACATAAAGCTGTGTATAGGTATGATGATAGAGTTCCATCAAACTCAACTGGTGATGGAGTCAATGACTTCCTGGGCTTTCAGTCTAACTTCATACTTGTCTCCAAATCAACCAGAGCTGCAGGTATATAGATGATATCATATATCAAACACGGTTTAATTATTGTTTATTTTGTAGGACGTGTTATGAATAACAAACATTTGTGATTTTTTCTTTTCTTTTTTAATAATAATTTTAAAAAGGTGATTTTAATCGAAGTATCATATTCGTGGTCAATAAGTGTTTGATACTGACATGGCAATTTTTTAAATTATTATTTATTTTGTAGGGTAAGTTGTGGGTACTTTTTGAATCTGTGTTTTATGTTAGACATATCTCAAGATATTTGTAATTTTTTTTAATAATAATTTTAGAATGATGATTTGAGATCAAAGTAAAACATACACAAACAAAGAGGAACAAAGTGATAAAATAAACAAACAAAAAAAACCCACATTCAAATCAACACCTATCATTTTTCGGTATTTTTTCTGTGTTAGTATTCTAATTTTTAAAAAATTGATGTCTCCCTTATCCGTGCTTATGTGTGTGTTTATCAATACTATTTTTTTTGAAACATTTCTCAAGAATTCACAATTTTTTTTTTTATTTTTTTTTGGTTACATCGAAAAAAGTTTTATATAATCTAATTTAAGGTGTGTTAGTACGGGAGATAGAAAGTACACATCAGCATGAATCAAACCTGCAATCTCCTGCTTAAAAAGTAAATACTCCCTCCGTCCCAAAATATTGGTCCCTTTTGGGGAATGGTAGAAATGCCGCGGACATTAAAAGAATTACCCACTTCAGTTTTTCATGCTTCATTCACTTAAGAAAGAGTATTAAATTCAGAGCAGTGAAGGTCTTCAAGAAAAAGGATGAAGGATTGAGATAGGAATGAACCAATTGATTTGGAGTGCCCTTTCTCGAGAATCTCACATGTAGTTTCAAATTCCTGTATAGATCAAGTCTTCGGAAGCCATGTAAAGGGATTAGGGGTCCAACTCGATAGGTGACAACAAAGCAGTGATAGGTTTGGCCGAATTATTTTGTAACGACTTCTTTAGCTCTCAATTCTTTCTCTCTCTCTCTGATCTTTTCCCTTCTGATTCCTTCTAATTGTGTCCGTTGGGGTGACGGACACAATCACTACCAAGGATTCAAGCCGTTGGGGTGACGGATACAATCACTGCCAATGATTCAAGCCGTTGGGGTGACGGACACAATTACTGCCAAGGTTTCAAGCCGTTGGGGTGACGGACACATTCACTGCCAAGGATTCAACCTGTTGGGGTGACGGATACAATCACTACCAAGGTTTCAAGCCGTTGGGGTGACGGACACATTCACTGCCAAGGATTCAACCTTTGGGGTGACGGACACAATCACTGCCAAGGTTTTCAAGCCGTTGGGTGACTGACATATTCACTGCCAAGGCTTCAACCCGTTAGGGTGACGGACACAATCACTGCCAAGGTTTCAAGCCGTTGGGGTGACGGACACAATCACTGCCAAGGTTTCAAGCCGTTGGGTGGCGGACACATTCACCGCCAAGGATTCAACCCGTTGGGGTGGCGGACACAATCACTGCCAAGTTTCAAGCCATTGGGTGAAGGACACATTCACTGCCAAGGATTCAAGCCATTGGGGTGAAGGACACAATCACTGCCAGAGATTCAAACCGTTGGGGTGACGGACACAATCACTGCCAAGGATTCAAGCCGTTGGGGTGACGAACGTAATCACTGCCAAGGTTTCAAACCATTGGGGTGAAGGACACATTCACTGCCAAGGAGTCAACCCATTGGGGTGAAGGACACAATCACTGCCAAGGATTCACGCCACTCATTGCCATTAGGCTAGAAGGGGCAATGATACCTGCAAACAAACACCTTGTGTGTTGCCTGCAAAAGAGATAAAAAGACATGAAATAATTGTTTACAAAAAAAATATAAAATAAAATAAAAAACAAAAATTAGTCATCATGATTCATGCAATTAAAATTCACTTGCACGAATCACAAGGGGCAAGGTTGATTTGACTTTTAACAAAAAATTGGCCAATTGTACAAAGGGTTGCTACTAAATACAACATAAAATAAAAGGTAGCAGGCTTAAAAATTTCGATTTTTCAAAAAAAAAAAAAAAGAAAAAAAAATCTGTTTGTATTTGGGTTTAGCAAAATCTGTAAATAAACAAATATTTGCTGCTACAAAAAAATATAGCAGGTTTTTTTTTTTCTTTAAACAAGAAAAGTCTTTGTTTGGGCTCATAGTTAGTAATAGCAAAAAAAAAAAAAAAAAAACATGGTATCCATAAAGCTAGTGTGGGAAATAAAAAAGGCAACTTGTGTTGGTTTGTTCTTCAAAAAAATATATATATAGTTTGAAACTTTGTTTGGCCTATTTAAATTCATGGTCTACAAAAAAAAGGGGTTTTTTTTTAAAAAAAAAAAAAAAAAAAAGGCAACTTGTGTTGGTTTGTTCTTCCAAATAAAAAAAAAAAAAAAAGAAAAAGAAACATAGTTTGAAACTTTGTTTGGCCTATTTAATTCATGGTCTACAAAAAAAAAAGGGTTAAAAAAAAAAAAAAAAAAAAACACTTTATTTGGCCTATTTAAATTCATGGTCTACAAAAAAAAAAAAAGGGTTAAAAAAAAAAAAAAAAAAAAAAAAACCACTTTGTTTTGCCTACTTAGATTCATGGTCTAACAAAAAAAAAGGGGGGGTTTAAAAAAAAAAAAACCTGAAACTTTGTATTGGCCTACTTAGATTTATGGTCTACAAAAAAAGGGTTTAAAAAAAAAAAAAAAAAAAAAAAACCCGTCCCAATGGTGCACACTGTTGGAATACATCTTTAATCCAGCCTAATAGCTCAGATGCCCTCTTGCATGCCCAGCACCTAAAAGCATCTCACCGGGAACAGCTCCACTCTTAGAAGGAAACTTGATTCTGTGAGTAGGACTTTGGAGAAGAGAGATATCCGAGGGTTCGATGATATGAATCTGAGGAACCATCATCATCAACCACTGGCCCCGCTCTAAAGTCTGGGGACGTGATCCACAGTCCTCAAACAAAACCTCCATCCCCTCCAAAAAAAAAAAAAAAAAAAAAAAAAAAAAAAGCTGTTTGAAAAAAATGAAGAGTTAGTGTGAAAAAAAAAAAAGGCTTTGTGACAAGGACTTTGTTTGCCTATTTAGATTCATAGTCTAAAAAAAAAAAGAAAAAAAAAAGGTTTTTTTGTTTTTAAAAAAAAAAATTATTATTTGATGTTATAATAAAAACTGTCTGTGCTCATATTTGGGTTACAAAAAAAAAAAAATACCTAATATGAAAAGATCTTGTGTATTCCTTAAGGTACTCTTTTTGCTGGAAGGAGAGGAGAGAGAATGGCTGGACTTACCAAACTATGTACACAATAACATGTGCAAGGCGGAGTATTTGTAGAGCAAAGGGTTTTGCTTGAATGTGTCTCTCTAAGAATTATAGTTTATATAGGATTGAAGTCTTGTTCCAAGAGTTCCAGGTTTATGCAAAAACAGTTTTGTGTAAAGCCCTATCCCACAAGGATTCTAAATATAATATATATATATAATAAAAAGAGGTTGTATATTTTGAGATTGTGGAGCTTACAAAGGTGAAGTCTACAAAAAGAGCCCATACAACGCCAGCCCATAAAAAATAAATAAATAAATAAATAAATAAATAAATTAGGAGATTCTTTCAAAAAGAGAAGTAAGCCCACACGGAATGAAGAAAGAGACCCACAAAAGAAAAGGCCCAATTAAAAAATAATGGCCTAGAAAATGAAAGGTCCATGATGGTCTAGGAAAAATCCATGATGGCCTACAAAAAAATCTATTGTAAAAAAAAATAAAAATGTGGCAAGTTGGAGGCCCACAAACGAAAAGGCCCAATTAAAAAAAATGGTGGCCTAGAAAAGGAAAGGTCCATTGTATAGAAAAAGTGACAAGTTGGAGGCCCACAAAAGAAAACGCCCAATTAAAAATGGTGGGCTAGAAAAGGAAAGGTCCATTATGGCCTAAAAAAAAAAAAAAAATCTACTGTAAAAAGAAATG